TTGTCTCAAAAAACACAGAACATCAGCAATTGCGCCTGGAAAGTGATATTCTCTTTCCACCTCCCCAAATTTTAATAAATTTATGCTGATTTTTGTCTTTCTCTTCTAGCTCAACTGTGGTCTTTGAAGTCCACCAAACACTTTCTGTAACTGCAGTCACTTGCTGAGGTTAGTCAGAAATGTAGAGACACCATCTACATGCCTACATTAGGCATCTACATGCCTAAACCTGGCAGTATCCCAACCTCAAAAAACACAGAGCAGCAATAATGTTCTTATGGTCGGAGCCTTCCATGGAAAAGCCTCAGAGTTCCACAGCAGTATTCAACACTAGGAGACAGATGAGTGAAAGGGAAGCTGTGCATCTCCCTTGGCCTCATATACTCTCTAGAAGCCAATGGAAGGAGAGAATGGATTTGGCCTACAGGAAGCCAAACGTGTATGTAGTAAGGGACGATGGGCTCTCCTCCTGTACAAACTCCCCACTTCTAGCACCAAATCCTGTGACAAATCACAACAAAGCAGATCCAACAATTACAGCTCAGATTTCAGAGTAAGTCACCATCTTCATCATCATCACCAGAAAAGGAGGCAGAAAGCTGAGGCAGGGTAAGATATATGAAGCTCTTTTTGTCTCAGTGACCATGGTGGCAAGAAAGGAATCAGTTTCTGTGGCTCTGTCCTTGAACATGCACCATCCTCATGATCATCACCAGAAAAGGAGGCAGTAAGCTGAGGCAGGGTAGGATATGTGAAGCTCTTTTTGTCTCAGTGACCATGGTGGCAAGAAAGGAATCAGTTTCTGTAGCTCTGTCCTTGAACATGTCTAGGATAGTTTTGTTTGTTTCCATGTCTTCAGGAAGCTCAATTTGTGCATCTTTTACAAACCATTTCTAGCTCAATACCAAGTGTCTTCCCATTATTGGTATCATACAAGTAGATCTTTGCCCAAGCTTAGATTCCAGTCTGGACATATGTAGAGGTTTGGCCACAGACCTAATCAGCACAATAGGCCTGTCAAACTCATCCAAAGCTTCCCCTTCACACTGTTCACCTGAAAGGATGACTGATGCCAGACTACGCTTTATTGGTTGAAACAGAAAGCTTAGGAAATCATTCCCAAGAGAACAGAGGTCTTTCAGTGGGCAATCCTCATTGTCTCCAAAGTCAACAAACAGAAGTCCAAGGTGTCAGGATACAGGATCCACACCAGGAATGGTTTACACACAAGGGTATTGCTAGAGCATACCCTACATGCCCAGCCAAATCTTCAGGCAGAATGTTCTCGTGGTCATAGTCATCTCATTGATAAGATGTATAATTGTAGACTGTGGAGCCAACGATTTGGATCCAGAAGTTGTTAGGATGTTAAAAACAGAAAATTAGACAACAGGGTACTGAAGTCATGACTGGGGATTCCCAAACACGGAAGCCTCTGGACTGGTACAGGCTCCAGACTTCAGAAAGAAGTCATTGTTAGGTTTATCTCAGGATCCCTCTTCTGTTCTTACAACAGCAACATCACCACTTCCACTCAGGGAAGAACCTCCAAAAGTATGGCCTCGGGCTACAACAATTTTCCACAAAACTTCTTCTGCAGGTTCGCCTGGCTGTTACTTCCTAATCTTCTCACATTGGCTGGCTGCTTACATTAGACCTTGGTTTCTGTGACATGGACAAGTCTCTTCTAAAGCAGTTCATCTCCTGAAACTGTCCCCAGTTTCAAATGCTTGCTTGCTGCAGTGACCTTCTGCTTCCTGAGATGTAGAAAAGTCTTGATAGTAGTAATGTTCCCTCTTAATTCTTCCTCACAGCTAATTTTGGCTTCAGGAGCCTTACAGAGAGAATGAACCATCTTATGGACTCTCCGAATGATTCTGCCCACAAATTTCTGAAGAATTTACAGCCGCGAAACAGTGGCATGTTCTCTGTTGGGCTCTGACAGATTGTTGCTTTGGCCTTGTACACCTGAACAAGGAAATTACTGATACGAGGCATTCACCGCACATGAATCCGTGCACCTGTCTGCTTCCACAGCTGTTTAGCACTGGCCCATAGCCAGCCGAGATGAGCTGCACAGTCTTTGGAGGAACCCCACCCTCTCTCTTACTGTTGTTCTCTCCAACAAGTCAGTCACAGTTCTCTGCTTCCACCTACACAAGCAGTCATAGGTACTGGTGCACTTATTGGACTCCAATGGCCTAGGGCTATTTTCTGAATAGTGGACAGCCCACTCAGGACATGTTCTACTGGACTGGCTTACACCCAGTCTTCCAGAGTCAGACATCATGTGCCCTGCCTCTCATCTCACTTGGCCTGCTTCTCCCTCTCACACCCTAACCTACTAACTCCCTAAATCTCACAGATCAACTGAGCTCTGCAAAACTCATAGAACCATTTCTCCTTGACAGGTAGGGTAGGGTCCCACTGAATCTTAACACTAACAAAAACCTGTAATCCTGAAAAATCACCACAAACCAAAGTAAAACAAATCTATTAAAATGTATCTAAGCCGGGCGGTGGTGGCGCACGCCTTTAATCCCAGCACTCGGGAGGCAGAGTCAGGCGGATCTCTGTGAGTTCGAGGCCAGCCTGGGCTACCAAGTGAGTTCCAGGAAAGGCGCAAAGCTACACAGAGAAACCCTGTCTCGAAAAACCAAAAAAAAAAAAAAAAAAAAAAAAAAAAAAAAAAAATGTATCTAAAGAAACACAACCCAGACAACAGAATTTGTATACATAAAAAATACCATGAAAAAAAAGAATACCAGTCAGGCGGTAGTGGTGCACGCCTTTAATCCCAGCACTCAGAAGGCAGAGTCAGGCAGATCTCTGTGAGTTCAAGGCCAGCCTGCTCTACAGAGCAAGATCCAAGACAGGCACCAAAACTACATGGAGAAACCCCTGTCATGAAAAACCAAAAAAAAAAAAAAAAGAAAGAATACCATGGCTTCGAAGCTTATTGCTCAAAAATCTACATGAATCAAACTAAAATTCTATTACTTTTGACTTGATTACAACTAGATTCAAGATTAGCTGTTACCTGAGAGATTTCCTGTTGATATGCTATAAAATGTTCCTTGCTGATCTGTGGGAGGTAGAATGAAGGTATGACTTCAGTGTCCACAAAGTCCAATCCCCACGTTTTTGTGAAGAAGTCGGATTCTCTTTTTGCTAATGTAGGATCATTTAATGCTGCTGGGAGATTTACTTTGGAATGATATACAGTCCATCTATGTTGATCTGTAACTAGAGATGGGGCAACACATAAACTATTTGAATCACCTGCAAAAGTAAACAAGACACCTCTGTAAAGTTTGCTCTATGCCTGGGAGTATATCCTAGAAAAAATAAAAATGCTTATAGTCTATTTTATATGCAATCAAACTTTTTCTCCATGGTAAATTATTAATAAAAGTCATCCTCATCATCCAGTATCAGTTATCAAAGGAATAAGAAACAAAAGATAAAAGACATGCAGAATTCGAGGGTTACAAATTCCAAAATGGGAGCATATATCTATTAATAGAAAATCCTTTCATTAATTAATTTCTTTAATTACAATTTCTCTCTTTTTCCCAAAACTAAAAATACCTCAGTTTTTCTTTTTAAAGATACACCTTTTTTTCCTGTTATATTATGGCAGGTACTCATCATTTAAATGTCCTTTGCTTAGCTTATAATCAGGTGACACAATGCTGCTACAGCATTAATCTTAAAGGAAAAACAATATGCAATAATCCTCATTATTTACAGATTTGTTATAAAAAGTTCTATGAGCACCTAACTAGCACATAGTGAATTACCACTGCTGGGGTCACTGCCCCTCAGGTCATAACATTGTCATCAGTCAGGAGACACGTACCCTTATCTTGCTTATGCTTCTGGTTAAAGACACTTATTTACTATCCATCAGTCATTACAATGTAGATTTCATGACTGTCCACATTATAAGCAGTGCTTACATGAAGCTTTCTTTCTACATGTTTTCTCCATAAAGCACAGCACAACTTTCCTGTGTTTAGTCACGCTAGACAGCACCTCAGGACTATGTTACAGTTCATTTTAAACAACAACGCCTCCAACAAAGTAACAACAATAAAACAAAATGCATAACATTAAATAGGCTGCATAAAGAATATTCATGGGCCGGGCGGCGGTGGCCAGGTGGCGGTGGCACGCACTCAGGAGGCAGAGCCAGGAGGATCTCTGTGAGTTCGAGGCCAGCCTGGTCTACAGAGTGAGTTCCAGGAAAGGCGCCAAAGCTACACAGAGAAACCTGTCTCGAAAGAAAACAAAAAAAAAAAGAAAGAATATTCGTTTCTAGGAGCTGAAACAGAAGCTGAAACAAGAGCACTCACAGTTGGGAACACCTGTATTAGGCAACTCAATTTTTTTTTTTTTTTACTGCTCTGTACACAACTACAAATACCACCAAAGTACAACAAATATTTAATATTGGAGTTAAAATACATTTTAGGGAATAGGAATATTTTTAAATACAGAATCTGCAAATAATAAGGACTGATTATACTACATTTTAACTACATAGCTTTCAATCTGCTCCTCCATTTTCAATAATTTTCCAGTTAACTCCTTTAATGGAAATTCGTGAAAAACTATATCCTAATTTCCCAATCACCTATACAGTTTGGGTTTTCTAGCATTATAAAATTTACTCTTTTGAGGTTAAGTATATGAAATATGACTACACTTTTTTTTTTTTTTTGGTTTTTTTCGAGACAGAGTTTCTCTGTGTAGCTTTGTGCCTTTCCTGGAACTCACTTGGTAGCCCAGGCTGGCCTCGAAGTCACAGAGATCCGCCTGGCTCTGCCTCCCGAGTGCTGGGATTAAAGGCGTGCGCCACCACCACCTGGCTGAAATATGACTACACTTTTTTTTTTTTTTTCGTCACATTGGGCTTTTTTATTGTTACCTATGCCTTTAAATTATAGGACAGCTAGAACCAACCTCAGTAGTACCACAATCCCGTTGTGCTGTCCTATATTCCTTCTTGTATGTATCAAAACTCATACTGAACAATGAGTTCTGGGTTGCAAAAGAGGATTTACTGTCGCATCTGTCTAGATGACTACACTTTTAATGATAACACAAATCATCAGAAAAATCCTTAAAAAAAAAAAAATTACCTGTGGGCTCCTGGGGACATACATCTGGCAGTGACTGCACAGGTCGAATGTGTTTTGCTGGATCTACCTCTTTTTTAAAGAAACCATCACTGCTGCTTCCTTGAGGCACTGGAGAAGATCTGTGGCTTGAAGCCATTGCATAAAATCACCACTCAACTAAAAAATAAGAAACAAATAATAATTAAGACACTACAAACAAAAATCTATCTATAGACATAATACACATTGCAAATAGTCTTTCAAAACCAGTAGCATTTTTTCAAAAGCCCTCCAAGTGTAAATACTTGAATGTCTGTTGTTATAGAATATTATTTTAAGTTGTTACTTTTGTTTATGTTGCATTTTTTTACTGTGCTGTGTTACCTTGCCTGTCTAAAACACCTGACTGGGTCTAATAAAGAACTGAATGGCCAATAGCAAGGCAGGAGAGAAAGGATAGGTGGGGCTGGCAGGCAGAAAAAAAAATATAGAAGGAGAAGTCTGAGAGGAGAAAAAAAAGGAAGAATAGCCAGAGGAGGAGAGCACTAGGGGCCAGCCACGCAGCTACACAGCAAGTCACGAAGAGTAAGATAAACAGAAGTAAGAGAACGGGAAAATCCCAGAGGCAAAAGGTAGATGGGGTAATTTAAGTTAAAGAAAGCTGGCAAGAAACAAGCTAAGCTAAGGCCGGGCATTTATAAGTAAAAATAAGCCTCCATGTATGATTTATTTGGGAGCTGGGTGGCGGGCCCCAAAAGACCAAAAACAACCAACAACAACAATCTGTGGTTAATTATAAAAGTTGTTCAGAACATTTAGTTTGCTAAGAAACTTATTTTTCCTTGTTTGAAAAAGAAATCCCACAGGTGAACATTCTTACTTATAAAAGTACAAATACATAACAATCTGTAACCAAAATATTAAAGATGAGACATGCCATTCATTCAACAAGACTACAATAATGACACACTACCAAAATGGCTAGTGCCTAAAGTTTTAAGTCTATTTTGCTGGGTTCAGATCTCCTCTCCAGTCCTCAACAGCATAACCATATGAAATTCCTTAACCTATGTGTACCTTTCCTCATCTGTAAAATAGATGAAAAAGGCTGTATCTCAAATATATCTGAAAAATTATGAGCATATATATATATGTAAATTTAATGCTATCTCAATGTTAGTGTTCACAGATTAGCTATTATAATTATATAATATTCATATTATGTAACTGAAACACAGTAATTATCATAAGATCATTAGGAAAAACTATAAATGAAACAATACTGCAACTCAGGCCCAAAGAAGTATTATTTGATTGTTTTGTTATGAAATATTTAGAGATTATCTAATTTAAGTTGTCTTATACTAGAGATAAATATAACAGGGCCCCCAAAATTATGTGCTGTTGTGTGATATTTTGTTTGTGTTCTGACAAATAAAGCTTGCCTGGAAATCAGAGGGCGGAGCTAGCCACTAGTTAACCATAGAGGCCAGGCAGTGGTGGCTCACACTTTTAATCACAGCACTTGGGAGGAGGAAGCAGGAAGATCAGGAGTTCAAGGCCACCCTGGGCTACACAAGACTGAACCAGTCTAAAAGAGAAACAGAGCTGGGCGGCATGGTGCATGCCTTTAATCTCAGCACATTTGGGAGGTGGAGAAAGGATCTCCGTGCCCTCCCTCCCCAATTCAGTCTGAGGATTCTGAGAGGTAAGAACTGACTGTGGCTGCTCCTTTGCTTCTCTGATCTTTCAGCTTTCACCTTAATATCTGACTCTGGGTTTCTATTTAATAAGACTAATTAGGATCATGCTTCAATATACTATAACAAATTAAAACAAAAACAAAAAACAAGGTGGAAACCTGGCAAATGGGAAAGAATCAGAACTATGGGGGGTTGGAGAGATGGTTCTGTGGTTATGAGCACTGGCTGCACTTGCAGAGGCCCTGGGTTCAGTTCCCAGTATCCACATGGCAGCTCCAGAGGATCCAACACCCTCCACAGGTACTGCACATACACAGTACACTGACATACATGAAGGCAAAACACTCATGCACATAATTTAAAAAAAAAAACTAAATATTTTTTTAAAGAGTTGTAAATAAGAAACAGATACAGAACTACAACCCACAGCAAACAGCTCATCTACTCAGACTTCCAGTTTGCTAAAAACTCTATTTCTCAGGGTTACCAGAATATCTGTCTCAGCACTTTTAGTACATGAAACACAACCAGTCAACCACCCCATCTACTTAAGACAGTAAAAAATTCTGCATTGGGGCATATGCCTTTAGTCTCAGCACTTGGGAGGCAGAAGCAGGAAGATCTCTGTGAGTTCACAGCCAGTTGGTCTACAGAGATAATGGGAGGGAGGGAGAGAGAGAGGGAGGGAGGGAGGGAGGGAGGGAGGAAAGAAGACGCTGCTAAAATACACAGACTATGGAGTCTCTAAAGGTATGACTACAGACCAACTACTAAAGACCTAGCTTTCAGGTGACAAGAAAAAAGAGGAACAGGTGAGTAAGGTTTAAACCTTATAAGGGGGAAACAATCAAATCAAAACATAAGGAATTATATAAGAATACTGGTCTGTTTACAATTCTATCAAGTCATTCTAGACTAAATTAATAAAGAGGCAATAACTAAAAGCAGTTATACTTGACTGAATCTTGTTCTTATAAAATGGCTTTAAGACATCCTTGGAACTTTTAATATGGATTGGCTATTGAATGGTATTTTGAAATCATTGATTTTCTTATTTGTATTAACAGTATTGAAAATATCAGAAATGTCTTTATACTTAGCATTAAAGATTTAGAAGTGATATACCTCACTATCTGCAATTTATTTTTAAATTATTGAGCAAAAAATTTGCGTAACAAATCTGACAAAATGTAAAAACAAAATATATTGAGAATTACATATTCTTTTGTTTTTCCATATGAGTTAGAATTTTCAAAGAAAAATTTTGAGGGAAGAAAACTACGTATTTGTAAAATATTAATTAGTACAAAATGTAAGTATGGGGGGAACTACTCAATTTGTAATCACTTTTTAATCTATCTCAAGATGGCATTATTGTATAACTTCAAATATGGAAAAACCTATCAAAAGGTTTCAAAGTTTATGTGACAAAAGAATTTTACCATATATAGAAACTGGAATTCCCTAAAAGATGAGGAAACAGCTACAGTGTATTATGAACATTACCTAGATAGCATGTAAAAGTTATTTCCTTCTACACTGTAGTAGTTACTGCCTAGACAAACTACAGATAATACAAAAATATTTAGAGTCAACTTGAAATTTTCCATACAATTGCCTATTGTACATAAGCTAATAGAGAAAGTCCATTTTATTTCTCTTGCCTACTATTTTGACTCTACACGAAACGTCTTATTAGAGCAGCTAAAATACAGCTATATACTATTCATGTCAGCATGCAAAATAATGGGCCTCATTGCGGCACTTTCATGCGGATGTGTCGTTCTCCTGTGTTCTCAGGTGTCCTCCATCTCTATGGAGCAAATACACTAATTCAATTTCCTTTCTCCTAGTCATCACAAGTGATACCTTACTGTCCAATCTAAACTGCCTGTCCTGTCATTCTACGGACTTCTACAGTCCCTCTGCTTACAGTCTAAACTACTATGTGTAGAGTTTAAGATTTATCTAAGTTTTCACCCTATTTTACTTCATCTCAAAAACTTTTATAAATTATTACTTCCCAAACAAATCTCAAATTTCATTAAGCGGTACTCAAGACTTTTACAATTGAATATTAACTTGTCTTCCTTTTTTATAGTCTCATTCCTTATTTCCTGTGAATAAACTCTTGCAGAAAAAGGGGCCTAATTGTCCTTTAGGATGATGTCCAGGCTACTTTGTCTTGGGGAAGGCTGTACCCTTCTAAAATATTTATACCATCTTCTCCCTTTTCTCCCTTAAAAGGTCCAAGTTTCATTTCTAGATTACACAGCTAAAGAAAACAAACATATACATATTTAAAAATGTGAATAAAAATAATTTCAACATTGGCCTATAATCTCAGCAGCCAGGTGTCAGGTCCAAAAGAAATTCAGGACAAATGGCTATCTGTGACCTATCAGCATACCAGAGCCCATGCTGGCCTCCAGGCTCCCTCAGTTGTGGTGGATAGCTGTTCTAATTATGTATGACCTTGAAGCACTGCCTTTAGAGAGGCAGCAGGTAACTGCTACACCTGCCTATGACCTTGAAGTACATGCCCCTGAGGTGTGGTCGCTCGGGGACCCTTAAGACCTGGGATGCATATACACAGCGCTCTCTTTGCTCCCTCATGGTTTGGATGCTGAGATGGACCAGGCAGATCTTGGACCAGGCAGAAGATCAGCATGGACCACAGCTCTGTTTTTCAGGCTGTAGTGAGTTTTATCTTCTAATAAATTCCTTTGCCTGTTATACAGACTCCATAGATTTCTAGCAATACTCAGTATCAGAAGTACCTGTTAAACATTTCACAGCCCATGCTGGCGTCCTGGCTCTTCTCACCCCACCCTTACCCTAAACTTCTCCAGCTCATGAGCTTCCCTCCCCCTAGTTCCCATTCCCTTATAACCCTGCTATTTCTGTCAGCTATGTGCTCGCTCTCTTGGCCCCCTCTCTCTTTGTAGTCTTCTCTTCCTCTCATAAAACCATTTTGTGACAACGCACAATGTACAGGAGACACAACAGAACGTTAACAGTGATTTTACTCTGCCTAGTGGGATAACAGATCTCTCCTGACAACTGTCCCATTTCTAAACATATCATTCCAGCCCTTCATCCCTCTGATCCAAACTAGTACTTTGTGATCTTCATAGTACTTTTTCATGTTACAGGGGACTTATTTATCTTGTTTCCTGCCTTCCCCACTATACTATAACAACTTACATTTGCCTCATTTACTGTCCTGTACTACACCTAGCACTAAGTCTACGCAATTTATAGACTTTGTGAATGTTCACTAGATGAACAAATAAATGA